AGAGTTCATTTTCAGAGTAAAGAAGGAACTTCAGGGATAGTCAAAATTACCATGTCAATGGAAAACCGTTCTTTGTAAAGCTGCAAAAAAATTATGTTCTAATTATTAAATTTTTCTCGTATAATACAAAATTTAATATAATGCACTTGGCATAATTTTGCACTCAATCAAATTTTCTGTACGCTTTCTTCTCTGCGGTCTTTTGCAGTAGGATTTCTATCTAGAACCCAAAAAGGGTTTATGTGAGTGTCCCAAGCTTGGTGAAAAAAACCCTAGAAGTTCGAATTTACGACTTCTGATCAATCAAACATTTGTATTTCTTAAGATCAGGTGTTCAGTGTGAATCACACACTTAACTAAATTGTCAAAGTAAGATGCTCTTAATGGAGTAACCGGTATTTTTGAAGTTAAATTGTACTCCAAATCTTGCAAGGTCTGAATATGTTCAGGTTGACCTTGTCTCAGTCTTTTCTCACAATAAAAGAAAAATCAAATAATTGCTTGCAATTCTCGGCACTTTCAGTGTTTCAGTCTTTTTTCAGCTGATTTCTCTGCAAAAGTGGGCGTGGCTTTGAATAACCGTAAATTGCCATTTCGTAACAATGGAAATTCTCTTTCGTCACCGAATGCGTCCATAGCAACATGTACACATAGCGCGCTTGGACCAAATAGGGCAAGAGAACAAAACCAGCCCTCAAGGCAACTCGTACAAAAAAAAACGAGTCAAGGGCGACTGCCTAGTGCTGCTGCTAAGGTGCAATACCAATCAAAACTCGCAAATTTGCAAGCAACAACCGGTTTATGCGTGAGAACTCGTCCAGAATTGCTTACTTGTCATTCATATCAATTCCATTTGCCTAAACGACTTACGACGAAGGTGTGTCACCGCGTCGCCTCCTTAACTCCTTTGTTGTTAGGATTTTTAATCTAATCCGCTTAAAGGCTTTCTAAATAGCGAGAGGGGTTAAGGGTTTTTTCCTGCTTCTCAGCTTATAATATCGATCTGTATCGAAAAAAAAGAGCTGAAACACTCACTTCGTCCATTTGCAATACAAATCGCAAACAACGATGTCATCAAAAC